ACATTGATTTTAAAATTCTTCTTTGAAGTACATCTAAATCGTTAAAGTATGTCGTGCATGCAGCACCCCACACTACTATACCATATGTTATGTGTGGCTCGACTAAAGCTTGATATATTATTCGTAGATAATATTCAGTTAATATACCGGTTAGCAATTTTATTTTATATGCTATGAATCTAATTTTCTTTAGTATGTGAGAAATATGTACATTCCATCTCAAGTGGGGATCTAGATAAATTCCTAAATATTTTGTATCATTAACTCTATTGATTTTTATATTTTTATCATTTACCTTAAACCGAAGGTGGTTATATTTTGGTAGATGATTAGATAGTGATGAAAATGGTAAAAAATGAGTTTTAGTAAAGTTAATCGTTAATTTTCCACTGAATAATTTTGCAAAAGTCATTTTGGATAATATCTTTTAAGTCGTTCCAATCCTTACCTTTATAGAGTATAGCAGTATCGTCTGCAAAACTGACTATTTTAGCTGTAGCTACTCCTCGTTTCCCATCTTCTCGGTCTGCCCTAATGCATTGATAGCCTCTAATATGCGAACTCTGTTGTTTCTTTAGCCATATCTCATTTAAAAAAATGATGTCTGGGTTATGCGTTTCTAAAAATTGTATTAAACTCACGCTGTTACTAGTCTAACTCCTTAGATTCCACTGTAAAGTGATTAAAGTGCCTTTGCTGTTCATTTTGCAGTTGTGTCTGTTTTGTGCTACTGAGACTAGGCTATGTAACATTTTTTGCTTTTTCAGTAAAATGCGTTGTCAGTCTGGTCTGTATCATTGAGTACTATTTGTTTAATTTTACTTAGGGTTTCAGGTTTAAGGTATTTTGAGTTTTCAACGATTTCATCTACTTGTTCTTTAGTGTTATTTCTGTAAAGGGCACTAGTAGGCGGCAGCCTTTAGGTGTGTTGAATGGTGCTTCTGTGTTTGAAGAGTTATTGTGCACTTGTGCTTGTACTGTTATTGGTCCGTTACTGTTTTGTTGTCTACCGTTTCTATTTATTAGGTTCTCATTGTGACTTTCTCTATTGTATCCGGTGTTATGTTCAACTATTCTTTTTTTTTTTTGGTGTTCGTGATGGTGCTTGTTAAAAGGTTCTTTTTGTTTTTATTGTATTCGCGAATTCAAATGTTCTTCTTTGTGCTATATTTATTTGACTTGTTCCAGAGGTAGAAGTTGTATTCTGGTTTCTGATTGATCGAAAATTTCTATTATTGTAAGCTATGTCGGTTGTGTTTATCATATTACTTTGCGATTTATAAGTTTCAGGGCACAGCTCGTTTACCTCAAAGTCTGAAATATTTTCAAATACCATAAGTTGTTTTATCTTTTCCTGCCTCTTGTACTCTGGGCAGTCTTTCGAGTTGGATCTGTGTTCCAGACTATCGCAATGATAACATTTTCTTTGACAGTGAAAGTCCTCCCCCCTCTTCATTATGTTCAGGATTACTGCAATTAAAGCATCTTCTTTTTCCCTTGCACTGGGTCTTAGTGTGACCATAAGTGAGACAAGAGTAACATTGAGTGACAGGTGGTATATATGTAAATACGGGAAGGAGAAGATAGTAAATAGAAACATCTCTAGGACGTGCTGTGCCTTCAAATGTTCTTAGTATGGTACCAGTGGGCGTGTATTTTGTAATGCCGTCTACTATGGTTTTTCTATTGAGCCTTTTTGCATCTAACACTTTCATTGGAGATTCGATAGCGCTAATGATCTCTTCAATTGTGAAGCTTGTATCTACTTGTTTTATGATTCCGTTGCATGTTACTTTGTTGAATGGTATTATATATATATAACAACAAGTAGGAAAATAATGGGCAAAATCCGCAAAAAGGAGGAAAGTGGATTCGAGCAGAAAATAGGATAGGTAACCCGAGCGATACGTATTTTTGCTGGTTGGCTTCATCAGGCCCGAAATGAATGCACATATGAAACTACAAAAGTAGATACACATGCCCACACATCCGGATACGGGTGTAACCTGAGGAAACGAAGTTGGAGGGGGTTCATGAAAATTTCCCTGATGAGATTGAGAAAAAAAGTAAAAAGTCTCCAAGCAATTGTTGGTGCTTTGCGGAGAAGAATAAAAACTCTAAGTGGTTTATTGAAACTTTTGAAGCAGAAGATGCACATAACAGATTCAGCTGAAACTGTATTGAAGGTAAGCAGATTGATGAAAACTCTGTGTCCCAGATATCCGTATTTATTTGTTTGGTGCAATTGATCAACTTTTTTTCAATATAATAGTTTTCATCAACACTTAACATACCACAACTGATCAAAATACCATCGAAAATAATCATCTTATCACATTTGCACATAAAGCTTTATTATTTTTTTCTATTAATTATAACAGTTGATATTCTATTTTTTTATTAGTATTTTGTTTATTTTGACCAATATTTGTTACAGAAAGTAGACATATTGTCATCTACCACAGCAGGTCATTAGACTGGTTATGGTAGATTCAGAATTCAGTATAGGTATGTTCAGTGTCAATATCTTAGTTTCCTGATGTTATTTATTTTGTATGAATGTAATTAATAATATTTTTAAAATATTCATTCATATACATGACTTAATTGCATTCTAAATACTTAATATCTCTTTTAGGTATCTCTTTCTGGTACGCCTTTGGAAAGCCTTGAAAAAATGTTGAGGGGCGTACTAGCCAGAAATATAACCCTGCTTTGCGGTCATTTGCCCTCACGCTGAGCTTTTATTCCCCAATAACATACAACTTTGTGAGGAAGACATTTAACCTTGCTCTACCCATCTGTCGACAATAAGCAAATGGTATAAGTCGATTGATGGTTGACCAGGATTCACTGTGGAATCCATTGCGGCGTTGAAATTGAAAAAAAAAATAATCTGCAGACAAAAACTCTACTGTTATGTGTAATTTAGTCCTAGATGGGATGTCTATTCGGCAACAAGTTAAATGGACAGGTAGTAAGTTCACGGGGTATGTTGATATTGGAGCAAACATAGAATCAGATGTTCTACCAGAAGCAAAAGAGGCGTTTTTATGTTAGTATGCTTGAATGGAGCATGGAAAATTCCGGTGGGTTATTTTCTGTTGGATGGCTTGACTGGTTATGAAAAGGCAGAAATCGTGAAAAAATGCCTAACCTTCATCCACACTTCTGGAGTTACTGCAGCAGCATTAACATCTGATGGTGTTCCAGTAAATTTCACAATGGCTTCTTGTCTAGGGGCAAATCTGAACGATGTACTGAACTTGAAGACTTATTTTGTCCATCCTATAATGAGTCAAAATGTATATATATTCCTAGATTCAAGCCACATGATAAAATTAGTCAGAAACGCTTTTGGTTCCCTCAAATATTTAGGTGATTCTGAGAACAATCAGATAAGTTGGAATTATTTTATGAAGTTAGTTTATGTAGAAAATACCGAAGGTTTACATTTGGGCACAAATATAAGAAACCGTCATCTGCAGTGGACGAGGGGAAAAATGGGGGTCAAAATAGCTACACAAACTTTAAGTAGAAGTGTTGCTGATGCTTTAACCTATTTATCCAAAGATTTGAAACTAGCGACGTTTGCTAATGTGCAAGGTACCGTAAAATTTGTGCAAACATTGAATGATCCTTTAATATTTTCAACTCTAGCACGTTCGCGACTTAGCAGTGCGAGGGTCTGTTACCGCACAGCCGTGTTTTATTTTATATTTGTTTGACATGTAATTATAGTTGTATTTGTGATAAAGTTTTTTTATGCTTGTTTTGAGTTTTTTGTGATTTTCTGTTGTTTTTTAAAATGTACCACCGGTGGTACACGACGGCTGTGACTAATATTTCTTTCTCAGGGACGACGTGTACCACCGGTGGCCACCATGTAAAAGGTAAGTTTATTACTAACTATTTCTCTTTTGTCTCAGATAATTAGCTGGGAGCAATGAAAAACCGAAGAGCAAGGATTTTACAAGCTTCAGCGGGGCTGCTAGGAGATGTACATGATCCACCAGGGCCATCATGCTCCACCAGTAATGTTGCATCTTCAAGCTCATCTGATCCAGACAATACTATAACTTCACCTCCAGAAAATATTATAACTTCACCTTCTGATTCTACACCTGAAAACCCAACCGATATTCCTGATTCATCGTCATCTCAAAATCAAACGAATGAACCTCAGGATAGTGTAAAGCAACCACAGCAAATTCGTTCAACGAAATATTTAGCAGATTTACCTCGAGATTTAATTTCATCAGGTGATGAAAGCGAACTATTTGCTGATTCTGGATCATCTTACCAGCCCTCAGATAATCAAGAAAGTGATGACGATGATCCTGCTGAAGAAAGCGATGAGCAATCTAGTGATGACGAGAATCAACTTGCTGCAACCATAGTAAATCCTGCAGCAGCAACAGCAACTAATCCTGCAACAACAAATGCGGACAAGTCACCCATAATTTTCCTCTCACTGCGCAAAGTGGATTTCAACTCAATCCAAATGACATTTGCGACCCTTATAAAATCTATCGCCAATTTATCGACGACGAAGTGCTTGAGCTCATAGTGAGAGAAACAAACAGATATGCGGATCAGTACATTAGAATTCACAATCTTCCTCGCAGATCAGAAGTACGTAAATGGACTGACACCAACCAAAAAAGAAATTTGCACTTTTTTTGGAGTTCTCCTAATTATGGGAATAAATCGACTTCCTAAAATGCGCTTATATTGGTCAAAAAATCCAATGTACAGAAATGAACATAAGACGTAACAGGTTTGACTTATTGCTCAAATTCATTCATTTCTCCGACAACGAGCAAAATATAGGAAACCCAGATAGATTGGCAAAGATAAAAGAGGTGTCGGATCGGATACAGAAAAGCTTTCAGCCACTTTCACACCAGAACAAATAGTGGTTATTGACGAAACCATGGTACCATGGAGAGGTTTTTCGCCAATACCAACCGGCCAAAACGCACAAATATGGCATCAAGATGTACAAACTTTGCACAACCGACGCTTATACTTTCAATTTCAAAATCTACTGTGGTAAAAAAGAAGACATAAGTGAACATGGACATACTGTTGATGTCACAGTAAAGTTGATGGAAAGTTTATTGAATGAAGGTAGATCATTATACACGGATAATTTTTATGCCAGCGTAAAATTAGCGGAATACCTTTTACAAAATGACACTTACCTTTGTGGGACTTTGCGATCTAACAGAAAAGGAAATGCGAAAGATGTTTGTAAGAAAAATCTGAAGAAAGGTGAAATGTATGCGATGGAGAACGCTAATGGTGTGCGTGTTTACAAATCGTTAGATAAAAGACCGGTTATAATGCTCAGTACTTTACCTCAAATTATGGATGAATTAGTCACTACGGGAAAGAAGAACAGGAAGGAAGAAGATATAAAAAAGCCACAATGTATAATAGATTATAACAACGCCAAAAAAAGTGCAGATATATCCGACCAAATGTCTTCATACTAAACTTGCCCGAGGAAAACAATAAAGTGGTATAAAAAGGCAGTATTTGAAATAATTTTGGGGACGTCTGTTGTAAATTCTTGCGTTATATATCAGAAAAACACTAAAAAGAAAATCGAGATGCTAAAATTCAGAGAACTTCTAGTACAATCATTACTCAATGATAAAGACGAAGATGAAGAAATAGAGGATGAACAAGACGTACCGATACCGAGGAAAAACGCAAAATCTACACATATCATGAAGAAATTTGAAGGCAATGCTAGACAGAATAGAAAACGCTTTATTTCCTGCTACGACAAGTTACAAAAAGAAAAAGGGACAAAGGAAGCACGAGCCAAAAATAAGAGAGTAATGACCTACTGCGATGAATATGACAATATACCTGCAATGTGTTTAGAATGTTTCAACGAAAAACATCGTTCAAAATAGTTTTAAGAGTTTTTCTTTGTTTTTCTTTTTAGTTTTATTCTAAGACTCTTCTAGAGAAGTTTCAGCTTAGATTTTTTTTGTGTTATCAGAAGTTAAGATTTAGTTCAGTAATGTTAAACTATATACTAGGTGTTGCTTCAGTAAAAAAATTATGAATATATTTCTAAAATTCTGTTTTATTAGTAGGTGAGCAAAAATCATTGAAAAAAAATGTAAAAGATGTCCGATTTAGAACCATGTACCACGGGTCATGTTGCACCCTTACGTACAGCCGTAACTTGTTTTCCGAGCTTTCTATACAGCCGTCGCATTTTTAAATAGAATTAGATATAGAGGTCACAGTGTACGACCATGATGTCGCGAACGTGCTAGAAACAGATTTTCAGAGTATTTATATATATATAAACGTCCACTTTCTCCAGCCACTGCAGATACATTTTTTAAATTCATGGAAGAAGCCGTTCAGTATATCCATGGATTACGAATAGGTACTCTCCCAATCTTAAGATCGCCTAAAAAAACTGTGTTTTTAGGATTCCTGATCTGCGTCCATAGCTTAAAGGAATCTTATAATACCTATATTGTAGAAAAGCAGGTTTTAAAATACATTTCAAGCAATAAGTTATTACAAGACCATTTAGAGCGGTTTTTTGGAGCCATTCGTAGTAAGGGAGGGTACAACAATAATCCCAGTGCAAGGCAATTTAATGCGGCATATAAACAATTGCTGGTGCACACAGAAACATCTGGCCCAGCAACAAAATATTACTAACTCAGATCGTCTCACTATTTTATTATATTTTTAATAAAACTTATATTTTGAAAAAGTATTTTTCGCTCAGAATTCACCATGAAACAGTTAAAAAATCTGATAGTTCAAGGAAAACTAGAATTAGAAGTGTATATACAAAGGCAGTATTATTTCGTCATCAATAATATTATCTTTCTGTTATAGGTTGACCAAATAGTTTTCAATTACGTAATGATAATTTTACTTGACATTTATCTTTTAACCCTGGACTACCAGTGCTACGCATCATGTGGTTGTTACCACACGTTAATAATAATAAGCTCTTTTTAAGGGGTTATAGATGTTTTTTTGCAGTATTAATCCCAATTTAGCGCAATAAGTATAAATGGCGGTGAAGGAGTCACGTAACAGTGGGGATACCACTGGTACTCTAGGATCAATAAGCTATTCTGTTGATGTCTTTAATTTATTAATGTTAATTATACTTTTCCATAATACAGTATAGTTCAATTTTTAATAAAGATATCTATATGACAATCATTTTTTTCTTTAGTTGCTGGCTCTGTGCTCTTATTAACACTGATACAGTTGTACTAATGAGAGGTAGGTTTGCATCTTTTTTCCTGGTGATTGTCATGCAAGGGAGAGCCAATAATTTCACATCAACTTGTATCCATTTCCCTACAAACGTTGGCGTCCACAATGGGGCCCAACTGGACCCGCGCCTCGTATATTATTGATACTATGGTTATTTATATTTCTTCAGCACTTACGAATTTTTCAATTACATATCTATTATTAGAGTATATTCATTAAACATACCATCACCGCGATTACAGTAACTGAAAATAATGTAGATTTGATTGTGCTGTTATCCAAAGAAATATGGAAGGCTCTTATGTGAGAATGCATCAAGCCGTTTGAGCTGTAGCCGAATAAACAGAGATTCAGTTTCAATTGCAACACCTCATATGTCAAAATCCATTAAGCCGTTTGGTACAAACCCATCTGTGACAAAATCTCCTCTCTTTCGAGGAAGTTGGGGAGGATAAAAACATTACTCCAATAATGTTTATCTGTATTGTGATAATCGAGTAAAATAGTATTCGCATACAAGATTTCATTATTTATTCTACAAACATGCTATTTTATTCTGTGATACTATGAACAATTAATTTGAATGAGATGTTATTTCATTGCAGTATACCTCATACTCTTACATTCATTGTAATGTTTAAAATTTTTTGAAAACTCTACCAAAATAGTTCTCAAACGCGCGTTCTGTTACCCCGCCATTGATACGCCCATGCTAGTTGACAACTGTCAGTTCCGTTCTCCCAACGGCCGACATTTTTTTGTTGTTTGTCTTGTCAATATTCAGAAACACATTTTATGAATGAATGTAAAGGTCTATGTTTTTTTATCGTCGTTGGCTATTATGTATGCACTACATCTCTTAATAATAGAGAAATCTGTGTAAAATTTCTAGGGATGCATCGAGTACTACTTTTTTCAAAATGCCAATTGCCATGTACCTACTCTATCAAATTCGAATACCAAGTACCACTAAGTAGTCGGCCGGGTACACTATGAACTGATATACTCTGGGTTATTTCAGCTACTGTTAGTGAGATTAAGATTATATTTGCATTTTGAAAGACTGTTTATTCCCGAAATTGATTTATTTTTCCAAGAAATTAATGAATCGCAAAAGGCAGTTAGCACCTTGGACAATTTTTATCCGACTGCCTCAGAAGGAGGACTGTGTTTTTTGCACGTGGGTATGTATGTTTGTAAACAAAAAATTCTATTTCACGGGCAACATCCGAGGTGTCCTTAGATTCATCTTGATACAGCAATCAAATCTTCATTCTTTTCAGTTACCGCAGTCGAGTTATTTGTATTTGCTTGTAGAGTGTAACAGCTAGGTATATGCTTTTAATGTGGAATTTAGCTATAATATTGAATTAGGATTGAAACCATACTTTGAGATTGCATTTTTAGCACATTGGTATTTGATATACTTTTCAATTTCTCCCATTACAAGAAAAGTACTCGTATGTTTGTAAGACAAGAGACCCCAAGCTGCCCCAATTGTGAAAGACTACCTAATAGAATCGCTACCATGGTATGGTCATCACGGACACTCCATATCCTATAGATTTTTGAGCTGCCTTTTACACAAGGCTTCACAAAAGATACACAACTGGCTGTCGTGGCCATCTCTAATTTGGGAAGGAGTAATATAAAATTATGCTTACCTACATTTGAGTGAATGTTTTCTAATACATGCTATTTACGTTACGTTTCGGCTTTTCCTACATTTTGTTTGTTTTTTTTCAGAGTTTTTGCTATTTTTTGAGTGTTTATATGACAGGTAGAATAAATAAATGTTGCTTAAGAGCAATACAATGTGGTTTCAGTTTTTGTGAAAGAAGCATATAGTAGTAGTAATAACACCTTGTACATAAAAAATAAGTTGCACAATTACCGTAAATACACTAGCTTGCTGGAGAAAACAGTTGACATTTATTAAAAAAATCATGAAAATCAAGTAACTGATTTGGCGAAAATCATGTAACTGATTTGGCAAAAACATACTGTAACCTTTGATGATGCAATTATGTCTTGGGGAACACATCAATTAGGTTTGAGAAAAGCGTTTGAGGGTTTTGCACATCACAGATACAACTCATTAATTTACACAAGTTGTGTGTCTTGTGTTAAGACCAAATAATTACCCGGAGTAATTTCATACTAGGCGAAACTGGATAACGTGGTAAAATTGGCCGAGTGCGCCGAGAACCGGGTACAAACCACTCGGTGCATCCCTAAACATGTCCTTGGTGGCCAATCAGATTTTACCGCGCAATTATATTATAGATCTGTTTGATACATAATGTATTTTAGGCAATCCCATTGAAAAACTCCAATGGATTCTGATCCGGCGATCTTGGTGAGTACACGATATAAATGTGAGGCATTATGGGATGAATTGGAACAGTGTTTTTAGTTGGTGATCAATCCGTTGGATGCCGCTGGTATCGTTGTTGTCGTTTGTCGGAATTGGAAGCTGATATTTGACAGCTGTCACTGCTTCCTTTCTTGTGTTTGGTGGTTTGGAGTGTTTGGACCGTTAAATACTTTTATTTTTTGTTTATGTGTGGTTAAATTTGAGTGATTACAGCGCTTGTTTATTGCAGCATGTAAGTATAGTGATATAATCTAGTTTTATAGGTTAAGATGATGGGTACAAAACTTCAGGGCCGTCGACAAGAGAGGAGCTCGTGGCTCGGCGCTGAGGGGAGCACGAGGCTCGCTTACTGAACTGATGGATAGACGTCCTTAGGTTCGCTCATGTCAAGAACCTTTTCTTCCCGAGAATATTTCGGCATGGGGGCTCGAGAATTTTTGGGCATAGGAGCCCGAGCTTATTTCTCAACGGCCCTGCTTATCTAAATATGTTTGCTAAAATCATCAATTTTAATATTGTATCATTACAGTATTACTACATTATTACAACTGCAAAAGTTAAATTTGATTTTATGTTGACATGACTTCTTAGAGCTTAGCGACATTTCTATTTCCTTGAGTCATTTAACTTGAACATATTTTTGTAACTGAATGTTGTTTTTCAGAAACCATGTCTCGGTACCGCAAATGCGCAGTTAGAGGCTGTCAGGACAGTGTTTCAGTACGACTATATGCTATAGACAATGCTGCTGGAAGCTTAAGGGCGATGCCAAAATTGACAGAATGCCATGTCAATAGAAATTGTATAAAGAAGATGAAGGTTTCACATGCTACCCAAGTATTCAGTCACACTGTGGCATCTGTGATGACTCTAATGGCACGTGCAGGTACATTTTCATTTTTTCATGGGCATTCATATAGATTCATGACTATTTTTATCTTTTTAGGAATAGTGGGCATACAAGGTGAAAAATTATCCGAAACTGCACAAGGAACAGCAAAAGTTCTCAAGTTTTTTGATGATATCATGGATAGTGTCAATGGGTACAGCCTATATCCATCCAGTGGGAAACCCCTGAGGTCTGCTGTATCTCTATGCACAGATCACTTTGAATTCTGGGTTGAAGCTCGTCAAACATTAAGAAAGATGTATTACCAAGGTTTCTATACGACATTTTATGCTTTGTAAAATTTTAATGATAAGAACAACAGATGAGCAGAATAATTTGTAGCATTTGATGTGTAAACACATATTCAAAGATTCGTATACATTATCTTGATCAATTCAATATTTTACTTTTAATTGAACTTAGATCTAGTTAACATTGAAGAGTACTGCAAAAGACATTGTCTGAAGATCAATGCTTCAAAATGTTCTACCATGCTATTTGGCCCAAAACTGTTAGTACAATGGTTAGATGGCCGAATTGTTCCTAGTCTTAACGACACCCATACTCCTATAGTAGACCATGCGAAGAATTTAGGGATCATCATCAAATTTTAATGATAAGAACAACAGATGAGCAGAATAATTTGTAGCATTTGATGTGTAAACACATATTCAAAGATTCGTATACATTATCTTGATCAATTCAATATTTTACTGTTGAAACCTTTCATAGCCAGTGTACAATGAATAATTCTGGACTGTAACTTTTAGGCCTAATTTCACGAAGATTATGAAATACTAAATGGATTTACCATCACATAAGCCCATTTTGATATGCTCTATTGTAATAGTGATTAAAATTCAACATTATTTCTTGAAATCCTCATCAGAACACTGAACAAACATCGGTTTTATATAAAGTTCCTACGTTGTCTATATGAACCTCACCATTACTCACAAATTTATAAAATTACTGATTGGGTATTCAAATTATTGATGAAATATTTGTAGTATGATAAGCTAATTAAAACCGTATTGCAAAGCTTCATTACCTAATTAGTGGAATTTGCACCACAGTTTGCTTTGGCGAATTCATTGGCTTCAAAATTCGTTGAGTGTTTTGACAATCTTCGTGAACTGACTCTCAGATTTAGTAATAATAATCAAATTGCAGCAGAGGGTACCGAAGAACGATTAAGGCCACCATCATTGGTCAACTGGACAGTCACCATAAATGGCATTATAGACATATTTGAGATGTTGGAACAAGGCAACGTGAATCACTTGAAGTGTAGGCGACTGAACCAAGACCTAATTGAAAATTTCTTTGGCCAGATCAGACAGCAGGGTTTACGAGACACCAATCCGACTTGTAGTCATTTTAAAAATCATTTCAAAACATTACTGATAACTTTTCTAGCCGCCACTCTATGTCAGCTAATTGTGAAAGTGAAAATTCCAAAAATATCATAGTGGCAGTGAAAAAGTTCATCACTGTAGATGTGGTAGTGCCTTCAAGAACAGATTTTTGTTCATTTCCATCAGAAATACCAAACTTTGCACTGCAGTACATAAGTAAAGTTAGTTTAGGATATGTAAGTGGTTTCATCACCAAATATGTAAAAAAAGATATTTCTTCATGTGAAGTTTGTATGAGAGATATATTTTCAGAAAATCCTGTGGATGAGTGGCATGCTCTTATAGCTGAAAAAGAATACTTGAAAACCATGCCTGCAAAATTAAAATATTGTCATTTGAGAATAATACAAAAATTTGCTGAATTATACAATATTACTATGCATATGGTGCCACAGTTAGCATATAAGGCAAATTCAGTTGAACTGTTGGTAAATTTCATAAAATCAAAGATCAGTTTACCACTCAGCTGCCCTAACCATAAAGAGTCATTAAATTCCAAATTGATAGAAAAGTTCACATTTTTTCTGGGCCATAACTGGACAGTAGGCATAAATAGAGCGCTGAGTGGTAGAGATCTACGGCCACTGAATAATGATCCGGTCATTAAACAGGCCAAAGAAATCTACCTTAAGAATAGGAGGTACAGAAAGTAGATTATAATGGACAACCAGTATATTTAAGTGCCATATAATTTTTATATTGTTACATTTAGATGTAGGATATAGATATTTGATAGGAGGTTCGATACGTAGTAACATCGCTCCTTAAATCGTAGGTTTTCCTGCAGTTTATAGTGAAAAGAAAATTGTGAAATCTGTCAGGAGTCGAGTGTTTAGTGCACTCTTCATCTCGAATGTAAGATCTCCACTATTGCATGTCAAATATTTGAGTAATTGCACATATCCTTATACTCCTCAGCATCATATAAATTGAACTTAGATCTAGTTAACATTGAAGAGTACTGCAAAAGACATTGAAGATCAATGCTTCAAAATGTTCTACCATGCTATTTGGCCCAAAACTGTTAGTACAATGGTTAGATGGCCGAATTGTTCCTAGTCTTAACGACACCCATACTCCTATAGTAGACCATGCGAAGAATTTAGGGATCATCATGGATTTGAGGTTTAACATGTTACGCATTTATCTCGCTTAACATACATGCGTTTGAAGATATACAACAATCGCCATATTCTGAATTTCAAGACTCGCAAAAAACTGGCTGAGACTCTGGTGCTATGGTTAATAAATTATTCAATTGCTGTTTACTTTCCTTGTCTTGATTACGTGACTAGCTATCGAGTACAAAAACTTCAAAATCGTTGTTGTAGGTTCGTTTGTGGTCTGCGAAAGTTTAGCCATGTGTCTAAGAAGATCAATGAGCTTAGATGGTTGAGGGTTGACCAGCTTTTCACATACCATTTACTAATATTAGTACAACGAATCAAAATCAATAGGCTACCTGCTTATCTACTAAAAAGGCTACTACCACGTGGGGATCTCAATTACAGGAATCTCAGACATAACTCTGACTTCAATATACCTAGTTATATGAGCATTTTCTATCGTAGTTTCACCTACAATGCTGTCAAGGTGTATAATAGTCTTAATAACAATTGCAAAAAGAAGGGAATACTTGCATTCAAGAGAGCCATTAAGAACCATCGTCTGGGGTCTGCTAGCCAAGCTAACTGATATATTTCTTTTTTTTTGTTAGAGCGGGCCATGTAGTATTGATGTATAACATCTTAAGATTACTCTATTTTAGCCTTAATTATTGTATATATTAGTTAGTCGATTGCTATTCATTGTTATATCTTTTTTTTGTATGTGTTTCTGTGCTGTGAGGTTAAGTGGTAGAGTAGCCAGCTGGATAAACATTGCCTCGCAGTGTGGATGGATTTCTAAAGACATTATTATTATTATATTTAGCTTTGTGAGAAAAGGTGATATAATTTATATATGAATGATTGACCATAAAATGACTATAATTATTTCTTGAATTTTAATTCCTCCCTTCGCATCCCCTGGAAAGATTTTCCACAAGCCATTTTACGTAATAAAAACACTCCGAATGGTTTAATTTCTGCTATATTAGTCATTAATACGTGACGCGCGACTCATCCCAGCATTGGAGAAAGACACTGTGTGTCGAAATGCGCGTCATGTATTAATGACTAAGAAAGTGGAAATTAACCCATTTGGGGTGTTTTTGTTACGTAAGACGATTTATTATTAACAGAATGTAAAAAGCCCCATTAGGTTTGTCCTATTAAGATGGAAAGGCCCATTATTCAGCACTGGTGTGCGGCCAATCCACCAGAGGTCGCAGAAATACGGTAACTTATTTTAGTATTGTAGTTTCCCATCTCTAGAAGGGTTTATCTCTGATAGAAGGTGACAGTGGCAGACCTCGAATGGATGTCGACGAAGAGGTTTTGCATGAAGTAAACGATGGCCCCCCCACTTCAATTAGGAAAATAACTCGTAGGATGAGCATACCTAAAACCACTATCCATGATACCTTGAAACAATGTTAAGAAAAATTGATGAAGATTCTACATTTTTCGATAGAATTCTGCGGAGTGACAAGTCTTCGTGCAGAAAAGACGGGTACTTGAATAAACCCAATTTGTATACTGGGATGCTGAGGGGGAAGGCGACTGGCCCATACGAATTACCATTAACGCTAATGGGGGAAATCTACCTGGAATAAGGAACTGGCTGCCTAATCTGTTCGAAGATGTGCCAATATCGATAAAGCCAGAAATGTGACTACAACATTACGGCTACCCAGCGCACTAAGCTCGGCCTGTACGAGATCACCTAAATCAACATTTTCCAGAAAAGTGAATCAAACGCCTTGGTCCTATCCATTGGCCTGCACGACCTCCAGACTTAAATGCCTTGGATTTTTTATTGGGGTTGCCTGAAATATATGGTGTATCAAACAAAGGTGATTTCTGTAATACATTTATGTGCTAAAATCAGATGGATCCCTAAGGAAATCTCGCAACGTGGGTATTCTCGCAAGCTAAAAAGATCATTTATTAAAAGGTGCAGTAGGGCACGTGCACAAGGACCAATGATCTAGAAAATTTAATAAAAACTTCCAATTACAACAGCAAGCCTATTCCTTATTCCATAATTCGTATCATAAAAGCATTTTTTATATTCAGGAAAATGTTAGAAAATAGTACCATTCTGAAAATCGCATTAAATGTACAGCTTTTTGAAGTATTTGCCACGGTGGCCTATTTCATTCTTTATTACTAGAGGGTGTCAAAGCAAGAGGTACAAATTGGTTTGAATTAACATAATAAAAAGCAACACTGATTTCAGTGACACAATCAAGTGTGGACATTTTGAAACAAAACCAGCTCAAAAAATTGATACTTGCAGAAGTGGCAACAATTTAACTAGACGACAAGAGTGTCGACATTTGCCACAAAAATTGATTGCTGGATATCTCGAAAACCATGAGATTTTTGACTAAACAAAGTTTTGACAAATAGGAGGTCATGGTGTGACCTATGTCCAGTTGCAAGATTACCCTTAAATATCTGGACACCTAATTTACTCGCAAAGTATATTCAATTTTCGAAACATTTTTTTAAAATTTCTGAAATTTGACAGTGACTCCTACTGCTAATTTAAGTCTAAGAAATATTCAAAGAGTTGAAATATGGTAAGCCCAACCTTATGACAACAGTTAATCTTTGTGAAAACTAGACTTAAAAACACAGGCTTGATGACGATTAGTTCAATTTTTCAAGCAATATCTCAATTTTCGCTTGTTCAGCCACTCTCGAGGTCTCTCTTAAAATGTACATATGTATATGCCGAGTGATTGTTTGTTATGAGACATGTTCCCATTTCAGAACGAAAGTTTTCAATAAACTACTTTAGAAAATAAACTCATATTTCAATATATTTATTACAATCGATTCTTAGCAACATTGAATGAAATCCTATTTTAATAAAATAATACCAATTATCATCATTTTTGAAAGTTGTTACTACAATATGCGTAAACAATCTTCTATCTACATATTAAACTATCTATTTATAAATATTTCAATCACAATGGTGATTTTGATACATACTTGTACTAAAAACTATACAAAAAATAACACTTAAGGTGCATGCAAGAAAAATGAAAAAAAAAATATTTTCACAATTTCAAATATAACAAAGCTAAAATGATATACATGGTGTTTCAAAAAAGCATTGCTAATACTTCCATAGTAGAAGGTGCATCCAAAAATAACTTTAAATAACGCTATGGTAATTAATCTTTTGACAGAGATTATTTCTCAAATGTTCCTACCAATTGAAGGGGTTAGAATAGAAAGGGTACAAGTGCACTTTTAACATTTTTCGAGATAAGTACGGATTGGAAAAGATAAGGTGTATATTTATGAAAATAAAAAGGACATAAGTGATTTTTAATACATTTGAATCCATCTATTGCCTAGTAGAAAAAGTACATGAATGAAACGGAATTTTTATTTGGAATAGAAAGGATGTAAATGCACTTATACCCTTCCTATTCCAACCAAAAGAACTGTTTATATAAACACGTGCTACGATTGTGTTAGTAGTTTATTGATTATTTCATCGATTTGCGAGCTGTTTTTTCCTAAATAAAAATGGAAAGCGACGAAGGTAAGCATCTTTGGTTATTATTTTATATTATAGTTATGATTAATACCAAAATAAGTGAACACCAAAAATGTGTGGTTATGTTTATTGCTTATCATATTATATCTGCATAATATTGTTAATTACTTGAGAGCAATTTCGTTTTTTATTATTTTGAATAGTGTCCCAGCAAGTAACAAATTATTGTTCTACTTTCAGACCCTTACTATACGGACGAAGACGAAGAATACATTCCATCATCCACTTCCGAATCAGATGCAAACGAAGAAAATCTTGACTCTGATACTACTGAAGTAGATTTAATAGATGAGGCGCTTCATATCACTCCAGACAAAACAAGGAAAAGGCTACGACGTCCATCTGAATGGAAGATCAACAAAATAAAACGCTGTAGAGCTGCAGGGAAAGAGTATGTGTCTAACAACAAGGTGCATAAAAATAAGTCACTGCAACCCTATCAGCATACATGTCGATATAAATGCAATATAAATATTTGTGAGGAAAAAAGGCGAGAACTTTTCAAAGCCTTCTATGATTTACCGTCATATGATCATCAGACTGCTTTTTTATCATCATGTATAAAAAAATCCAACGTAAAGAGGAAAAAAGTTGACAGCACCATCGAAAGAAAATTTAGCACAAATATATTTTTACTAGAAAAGCGCGTTTGCAAACAATTTTTTCTAAAAACCTTTGATATCTCAACTAAAAGATTTACATCTGTATGTGCTAAAACAAATCACCTTGGTATAGCTGAGCCAGATAAAAGAGGAAAAGGACAAACTCACAGGAGGATGGGAAATGAGCAACGAACTTTTGTAATCAATCACATCAAAAGGTTTCCTAGATACACAAGCCATTATTCTAGAAAAGCAAATTCTCAGACGAAATACTTGTCATCAGATTTAAATATTAAGATTATGTATGATTTATACAAAATCGCTTGCAACGACGCAAACAAGATTCCTGTGAAGCTCTCTTATTATAGATATATTTTTAATAGCGAATTCAACTTGAGATTTCATCGTCCACACTCAGACACCTGTTCCCGCTGTGACTCCCATCAAAATATTATAAAATATTCGAATGATGATTCTAAAGTCTCGCACAGTAAGGTTCAGTTAGAGCTTCATCAGAAACGTGCCGAAAATGCCATTAACATGAAGAAAAGCGACATCGAGAAATACAGACTTTCAACAGATACAGTAGTGGTATGCTTTGACCTGCAACAGTCCCTACCAACACCACTCTTGACAACATCCAAAGTATTTTATCTGAGACAACTTTGGACCTACAACTTTTGTATCTACAACCTAATAACCAATGAAGCTCACATGTATGTATGGTCTGAAAATATAGCTTCGAGGGGCTCACAAGAAATAGGGTCATGTCTATTACACTTTGTAAAATCCCTGCCACCAAACATTAAAAGATTGATCGCCTATAGTGATTCTTGTGGCGGTCAAAATAAAAATAAAAATATATGCAAATTATTTGTTTTTGGTTAAAGCTACACCGCTTGAAGAAATTGAACATAAATTTTTAGAACCCGGGCACACATATATGGAGTGTGACCGGTCTTTTGGCCTTATAGAAAAATGCAAAAGAAAAATTCCACAAGTATTTATTCCTTCTGACTGGACTGATGTAATAAAGTCAGCTTCTAAACGTTTTTCGTTACATTCTATGAACAAAGAGCATTTCTATTCATTTGCACATCTCAATGCTATAATAAGCGATCCAAAAAAGGATGTCGAGAGACATAGTTTGAATTTCAGAGAAATTCGTCACTTCAAATATAGCAAAAATTTGGAGATGTATTCTTTTAATTTTAAGAGTACTCTGAACGAAGATTTTCCTTTCACTACATGTACCTGCCCTTATTTGGGTAAAGGAAGACCAGCCAATACTTTAGAAAAGGTATTTTGCACCGAATTAAATGAGCATTCTCTTAGCATCAGTACAGAGAAATGGAACAATTTGCAGACCCTCATGGAATACATACCACCGCGGCATCATGATTTTTATATGAAACTAAAACATGGCAACAAAAACAAAAAGAAAAACATTAATAAACTTAAGCAAACTAATATCAGGGGTGCTGCATATACATCAAAGCAGGCTACAGCTGATGCTTCTAATAATGCCATGGACTCTGAAAGAGAGACGGATATGGCTTTACTTGACTCTGAGACAGAGAAATGGAACAATTTGCAGACCCTCATGGAATACATACCACCGCGGCATCATGATTTTTATATGAAACTAAATCATGGCAACAAAAACAAAAAGAAAAACATTAATAAACTTAAGCAAACTAATATCAGGGGTGCTGCATATACATCAAAGCAGGCTACAGCTGATGCTTCTAATAATGCCATGGACTCTGAAAGTGAGACGGATATGGCTTTACTTGACTCTGATTCAGACAATAGTGTTTAGTTTAATGATTGTAACAATATTTAATCTGAATAAAAATGTTTCTAAGTGTTTTGTTTTTCATTTTAATCAAATTGAACTAATGTTTGGGAAAAAAAGGGTATAAGTGCTTCGTTTTGCAAAAAAACAAAATTATTTTCCAAAACTCAAGTTTCAACTAAAATTTCATATTTTCCTTCTAATAAAAGCATTCAAAGATATGGGTTAAATATTTTCAGGATTTTTTTAAAATCATACAACTTTGAGCTCGATTATCTCAAAACAATGTTTATGTTACTTATACCCTTTTTATTCTAACCCCTTCAATTATTCTTCAAAAGAAAGGGACTGACAAAATTTTTTCGATAGAGTTACTTCTTGTGAAATTAAATACCCTATTCAAACATGCAATAGATTTCACCGAAGTCAATGGCACAAAAACCAATTTTCTTGTTCCCTCCGTAAGAAACTAAATCGTACTTTCTACGCCACTGGTGTAGTTGGAGGCGTAAATACTTTTGTCCGTATTGCATGTGCGTTATTACTACTAATACATTTTAAGTCCACAGCGTTATCCACTTGAGATATACTGGGTGTTATTTAAGTTCAAAAGATTATATAAACATAGTTCCAGAACTGCTTCATTTTCAAGATACAGGGTGTCAAACTTTTTTTAAATCCGTTTTACTTAAATATCTCGATAAGCTTTCAGTCGATTTTGTTTATGGAATGACTCAAGACAATTCTAGAGCGGCTAGGCGCATTTATCAAGAAAGATATCGTCATCGCATTATACAAAATAGGCTTACATTCGTGAGAATACAGGAAAGGCTGTGCTAATCAAGCACCTTTCAAAGGTCGGCTGCTGTAATTGGGAGACCTACCACAGTAAGAACAGTGGAGATGGGGGAAGCAGTTTTACATGAAGTTGAGCGTAGCCCCGATACAAGTACACGTAAAATTATAGAACAACTAAACATCTCTCACTTTATTGTACGGCTGATTTTAAGGGAATATCAACTGTATCCTTACCACATACAGCGTATTCAAGCGTTATTATCTGCCGATTTTCCCTAACGAGTCGTTTATTGTACTTGCTTTTGCAACAACTGGTAGCTTTTCTAAGATTTCTATCCCGTATTTTATTTACCGATGAAGCATGTTTTTCCTGAAATTAAATTATGAACTTTCACAGTTAATCACATCTGGTCTGAAGAAAATCCCGAAGCGGTTACAGCAGTTAATCATCAACAACAGTTTTCCGCGATCGTTTGGAGTTGTATTGGAGATAATTATCTCATTGGAACTCATTTTTTACCCCCGAAATTAAATGGTCACGAGCATCGTCATTTTTTGGAATTTATTTTGCCTGAAGTACTAGAGAATGTCCCGCTGGAAGTAAGAGGAGCAATATTTAAACCATACCAAACCCACGATGGGGCTCCACCTCACTTCTGCGTAGTAGCTCGGCAATTTTTGGATGCACCTTTTGGAGAAAACTGGATCGGACACGCAAGTCCATATTCATGGCCACCCAGGTCACCGGATTTAAATCCATCAGATTTTTTCTTTGGGAGCATTTGAAGTCCCTCGTTTACAAAACTCGAGTCAACACTGAAGAAGAATTAACCCAACGGATACGAGATTCATGTGATTAGATAAGTCATACGCCAGGAATATTTCAACAAGTTTCCCAATCAAAGTTAACACGAGCTAATGCTTGCATTGAAGTTGAAAGAGGGCATTTTCAGCAACTATTATAAGTATCATGTTATTTACTGTTAAATGTTTTCATTGAAATAAAAGTTTAAGTGTAGTGTTACAAAGACGTTTTTCCGGTTCGATTTTTTTTTCTAATTTCCAGCGTTACCAATGTGCTGTATCACTGGCAAGAGATTGCAACAATAAATAACGTTATGTAAATATTTTATGTTTATTTGTTTTATCCAAAGCAGGTATAATGTGAGCAAAAAATTTAAACTTAATTATCAAAATCATGCAATAAAGTGCTTTTTGTTTTTTATCTCGCAAACGAAGCAAGATATGACAGAAACTCAGGAGACAAAATAGCTGTATTTTTAGATGTTTAATTCGACAAAAAATAGAAAAAGTCAGTGGCGCACAAATGTAAAGTCAGATATTATTTAGGGTGTTTTTCGGGACCCCACTGGACCTAATAATTTCAATCTAATCGGGGCTAAATTAGCCCCTTACTGCCCTTAATGCCACTGCTAAATTTGAACAAAATCGACTAAAAGTTTACTACGATATTTAGGAAAATGAAGTATTTCTTCACCTATGTTTATATGAACTTTTCATCTTAAAATTACTCAAAGAATCACCTCCTGAAGTTTGGCCACGTACTTAAATAACGCCATTTACTTTTCTCGTCTTTTAAAACTTCAACACACTGAATCTCGGGAAAAGGGCATTTTGGGACCCCTGAATAAATGACATTTTCTAAATATTCCTTGAATTTGTTCCTGACCTAGAAATATTGCCATTGTTTTTTAACCGACCTGTATGAGTATTTGTGCTACATTTAAACTGCATTAGAAAATGTCACGCTGTTGAAAAGAGTCGCAATTAAGAAGAAGTATTAGTAGCTTATATCACTCTCATTTTGATTTGGCAATTAAGTCTACATCCTTGAAATATTAAAATTGCCTCATGCTATATGCGTGAAACAAAAAATCATGCAGTTCAGTAAATATATAAACTCAATTGCAGAGATATCGAGAATTTTAAATGTGATGAAAACATTACCGATGTGAAAGCAGCAAACAGTAAACACGATTTTGTACCATCGTTTTATAAGTTTCTTTTAGATTAGATATTTACAAGGTAGTATGCCTCTGGTGTAGGGTACGTCACACATTTCAAATAGTCAAATGTTCAGCATGCCACCTCCCCACTTCCCCTCCGCCTATGTCCTCATTCGTTTTCTAGTGTGTGCTGCGTGCACATCGTTAGGAGTCTCTCCGTCGTTAGCTCCTATTTTTTCAGGTAAATCCATAGGCAATCCTTTCCATAGTAAAAAAACAGTATACGCTGTTCTGGTGGCTATAACGTGAATTCTACTGAACACTACCGTAGAAGCCGTACTAAGTACTACTAACAGCGCTGTCAGTGTAGGGCGCTCAAACCCCAGTCGGACCTCAACGTTATCACGTCTTGTGAAAACTGTGCAAAAAAGAGAAAAACGTCCAGATACGGGAAGGACCATTCGCCAGGCGGCTCTAGGCATCCAGACTCGGACAGGTACTCAAGTACGTACAGGCGGACCTCAATGTTGCCACATCTTGTGAAAAATTTGGAAAAGAAGAAAAAATTGTATATAAAGATGGTCATTGCCCGACCGGCTCTAGACCTCCAGCCTGGGACAGGAACTTGGGTAAGTACAGGCAGATCTCAACGTTGCCACATCTCGCCAAATTCCGAAAAAGACGGAAAAGCCTTTAGATATAGGTAGTACCCATACCCGAGCGGCTCTAGGCCTTCGTCACACACACACACACACGCACACACACTCACACACATGCACGCACGCACGTACGCGCGCACACGCACACACACACGTACGTACAAGCAGTACTCACAAGTTGACACTTCTGGCGAAAAAAATATCTAAAAGAGAGGGAAAACCCTCTAAATATACGAAGGACCACAGCTCGAGAGACTGTAGGTCTTCCGCCTTGAACAAGCACCCAATTATGTACAGGCATACCTCATCATTTCCACGTGGAAAATCTTAAAAAGAAGGAAAAACCTCTAGATATATAGAGGGCCATCATAGCCCGAGCGGCTCTAGGCCTCCAGCCTTGAACAGTCACTCATGTACGTACCATATCCTGTGTGAATCGGTACGTTATCATAGTTATTGAGATAGTAGTCTGCACGGCACCACACTTATTCGAGCAACATGCTGTGTTATTGCCAAGTCTACTATCAGGCCCAAATGCTCAGGATTCCGACGTTGTCACATCTTGTGGAAAAGATCAGAAAAAACCTCCAAATATGGGAAGAACCATAAAGCGCGAGCTGCTCTAGGATCCCAGATCTGAGCAGACTATAAAGAACGTACCGCACCCTTTGCAATAAGTGTGATTCGTAATTACTGGGATAGTAGGCACAACACCTATTCAAGCAGCACGTTCTAACTGAGAAGACCGTATCTCTAACGTCAAAGCAAACACAGAACGACGACCATGTTTTCAATAACACGGCGATTCAGTGTTTCCAGTCGAATTCACTACAGTGATTGGACGCTCAGGTGGATTTACGATGTTGTCTAAAAACCTAGGAAATGAGGAAAAACCTCTTGGTATTGGGAGGACCTAGACTTTTACGCACTCCCTGCATTTTGTTTTATGTTGAAAGTGATCCATAAGATTTTAATGATCAGACAGAACAGATAGTATCAGTGCCACACTGGCACACAGCCTTGATACCTCCTAGTATCCAAATACATCACAAGGAAACCTGTATACTTTTCATCTGGTTCTAACATAAACTATGATTCACACACATTTTAGCTTTATAGATGTATATCCACTTGCTGGGGACCCATGCTTGATGGCAGTGATATTAAAAAATATGCATTCATACCTCAAGGGGTCAATGAACTAGCAGCACACCATGTTGGCGTCGAATTCGGATAGTACCATCAAGCACATACATAAAAATTATGGCAAAAGTACTAAGTATCTAAGATAACAATTCTCATAGGAGCTACTCTCTAATGGAAGCCATGTCTATAGCACCTTCAACAACATTATCTCTCCAATTAGTAGGAAGGTTCCTCAGAGGCATTGCTCGCAAAACGGCCACAAATTCCAAGATACAGTTATGCCTAGGATCTAGCAATAGGTCTTCAATACTTTGAGACGATTGGGTGAGATTCACCGCAATTACTAATCCACGAAGTAATTACACTGGAGGATGACTTGAGAAGATATCTTTGATTTAGCTTATGTAGTCCTCAATACTAATAAAATAAAAATATATATCAGGTTCTAACACAACAATGCAACTACCTTCATTTCCTGAGAATAAATGTATCTGCCCAACGTATCTGTTGGAATATATCGAAATAACTAAGAACTTGCGTCATAGAGAAGACGTATTATTTTTGTTATTTTATTCAGGGATGTACATCCCTTATATTTGTTTAGCTGACAGCATATATCAACAAATATATAAATGGATACATCAAAATAACAAAAACTAAACCTATAAGGCATTTGTCACTATTCGGTGGGCCAACACATCGCAGGTCTTTGAACAACTACCTTGTATATACCTTCGGAGTGGACACTGAAATCTAATTGATCGGTCAAACGAACTTACACCTGTGAAGTTCTTTCGCAATTATGTGAAGTGTCCACTCCGAACTTCACAGGTAAGCTCGTTTGATCGATCAGTTATTTTTGTTTGTGGCTCCTAAAACTTATGCTGAGTTGTTTTCGCAGATTTCTCAAACTGCAACTGGCCAACGTTAGTATGTCTACGAAAAAAAGTGGACAGGCCTTGCTTAATATATTTTTGACTTAATCCAACGCGATGAACGTAAACTTTCAATATCATTCATGGAAGTCAAAGTTATTTATTCAAAAAGTTTATTAACCCCCAAATCGTCAATCAGAAATAGTGCGCAATTTTTCTCAAACACAAACCTGATATGACTGTAGCATACCATTTTTCATATAATTTCAATAAACATTAACAAATCTCTCTTTTCGCAATTTCTATGTTAGGTACTAAATTTTATGTATGGACCCATTGATTGATTAATTCTACCATAAAAATAGTGATACATGTTAACAATGCACAAACTTTTAAGTAGGCACTTTATCTAATATCTAGTAAACGATTTTATCAACCGAACTTCACTGGCCAAAACACTTCACAGCAAACAGGATTGGATAGTTTCCAAATATGGAACATCAAAATAGTTTATTGTTTATTAGTCAAAATAGTAGTCTAAACTTTCGTGATGCATGACCCAGAAAAGGCTAAAATGTAGGTACCAGGTAGTCATATGTCTTAGAGCGTTTAGAAGCTTCAAACATTAAAGGGGGTAGAAGAAAGCATCATTTGTTGTACTCGTTACATCTAAGACATTTTCAAAAAAGATACAAAACGCGCAATTAATATATTGTATGATTACCGATTTATTCTTTTACGTCTATAAAGAGTTCTTATATAATTTTATTAGCTTTCTTAATAGTCAGTATTAAAAGCCTATAATATAGCTACATGTTTGTCTTCTTTGGTTAAAATAACTTTCTTTATTTTCCACCAAGTTGATTGTTAAACTTATATTTTGTCCAATGAAGTTCTTTAATAAATTGCCATTCAACCAGTCTTATCAAAAAACAAAGCACATATCTTCATTGGATCAGGAGCTAGTACATGTTGTGCCCATATAAGCGGAGCGAAGTATTTTAAAATCATGGAGTTTGCACGCACATCGTAGTACCTTTACCGTGATACCAAAAAATGTACTGGACAATCCCGCAAAAATCGAGTAATCTGTATAAGGCTTACAGCTTTTCAAGCTGCTGCCACCATAAGCCATGACCTTATGTTGTTGTTGTTTTTCGCGAAATGTCTAGTTTTCTTATTTTTATGTTTTGTCGTTAAGCACAGTAGTGACTCAAAAAGTTTCAAGAGTTTCGCACATTACCGATATTTACTTTATTTCGAATCCATTTTGCAAAAACCACTAACTATTAAAACAATATTCGAAAATACTTCTTGAGAGCTTCTCTTATGTAATAGAACACTCACTCCTCACTCCTGCGCTAATACAAACGTCTGTAATAAAACATCATGACGCAATATGAAAAAATGTTACCTCTCTAAAAGATACACATGTACCGATAACTCGCGGTTAATTATTTTATCTGTATTTGATATTAGATATTAGTGGTCACCTGATAAGTGGGCGATTTATGGAAAACATTACTATTTGTTGTGACCTGTCAGTTTAACAACCACAGATAAATGAGTACCTACTTTTCCAATTTAGAATTACCCCATATATATAGTCTAGTACTATTACTATGCAAATAGAAAAATCAATTGATATATTGAAAAGTTACAAGATAATAATACATGTATATCACAGACCACTTATAATATAGAACAAAAAACTTATCCACTACTTCTAATAGCGTTCAGCACTCTTTGAATTGTTTCAGTACGGATAAAGGTTACAATAAAGGCCGTTATTATTAGAGCAAATACTAAGAACACAACCGTTGAATAACAGTTTAGAAAAATAAATTAAATATAAATGAGATTGTAAAATCCAAATATCTGCAATCAAAAAAAAAACTTGAACTTGAAGTAATGATTATATTATTAAACCGGTTTCCAGAGGCCAAATTTTATTAAATCCACAGAAACCACGACAGGGTAGCAACACTTTGGAGTAAATACGTTTGAAAAAAATCTCATGAATGTTTTGACATTTGCAACTTTTTTTATTCATTTTCCATATGACCAAGTCATCAGCTTATTTTGAATTTACCCATTTCAAAATCTCAGGAAGCTAACTTGTTAGGAGACAATTTGCACCAATTTACTATAACCTAGTTCGGATAAACTAATACTGTATATCTTTGAGAATATACTTAGGTACAGGATGTGTATTAACGTACAACCACAACGCCCTAATTACTCCCTCTTTCAAATTATACCTTCCATACAAAAAAGGTTGCGTAACGTTACAGGAATAGTTAACAATGTCTGATAACATCCGCCAAGGAATAACTAAAAACTCGATATCGGTATGTTTTAACTTAACCCTCTCTACAAGTGTTCCTGTTATATGAATATCGTCTATCCAGAAATACTCGGCCATCTGCGCTTCACGATACAACGCAAAAACTACGTCTGGAGAATACAGGAGTGACCACCCAGGGCAGTACGTGGGATAAGTACGGTTTGGATACTCCTGGAAGGAAACTCTCCACTTAGACCGGTAACTGCGAATTACATTCGCGTTCTTTCTGGGAGTACAGAACAATACTCTACTAGCACCGTACGGAGACAACTCATACCTCAAGAAGTTGTTCATCGCGGGCATGTTTACGAATACGTCATCGTCGGTTTTGAGGATATACCTTGCTTGAGGACAGTGGTATATGGCATACTTGAGGGCCATCACGTGTTTGTAGGTTATGTTCCTGTAGGTGTCCAAAAAGGCGCCTTGTACCAAGTCATTGTATTTCCTGTTCTCTTCCTCTAAATTTTTCTGGAGTTTAATGGAATTCACGGTGCCAACCTGTGAAAAAAAGGTATTAATTAGCATAGTAGGGGGTCAAACAGTGTAGTTGAGGTTTTAAATATTTTGGAGTTTAGTGGAATTGACGCTACCGACCTATGAAAAAAGAGGTTTTAATTTATCATAGTAGGTGTGTAAAAAGTGGAGTTGAGGTTTTACATATTTTTATAAGGACTCATTACATTAGAATAACAAGTGACAAGTGATTCACAATTCTGACGGATCATTCAACGCCACGTGGACAGAGTTTGTTTTTTTTGTACGCTACGGATTCATTTTCTACTTGCTAACAACTCTTTCATCTTAAAAAAGTTCCTTCGCATACGAAAAAAGAACGCAACAAGCAAAATGGCTACTAATTATCATGACTGCATTTCAGGTCAGGCAGGAATAAAATAAGATATACGTTTTTGATTATGCTACTCATATGTACTTCTTAGAACTTGAAACACCGTATGATTTTGAACGGCAATGATACATGCAATTACAGTTAATTCAAAATGTGTGGAAGAATATAACCGAATTGGTTATGTCTGAACACTACTCAGGTAATTCCAACAAGTCAAAAATTCGAACAAACAATAAACCATGATAATGACAAGTGACAACTCTTATTCCCAAGGTTTTGAACTCGGGAAGAAAAGCACACTTTTGACGTTCCACAGAAGGATTAGTTTGTTCTATTTCCGAACGCATGTAACAGGTGCGTCAAACAATTACGAACGCTAAAATTGTTACTGAGTAGGTTAGGTTTCTTGTCAGTGCATCAATAACGATCCTCCACTGCGGCTCTTTGGTCTATTGTGGCTCACACCTATTTATATTTCCCCCCAGTAGCTCCGACCTCCTGAGGAAGTCGATCAATTTGTTTGGAAAGATATCCTTCAGGTCTTCTGCTTGGAGTACTACGTCTCCAAGTATGTTGTACCTGATTCTGGCAATTGCAGGGCATCTGCACAATACATGCCTGACCGTTTCATCTCCCTCCATGCACAGTCTGCTCTCAGCGTCCTCCGCCATGCAAAACCTGATCAAGTGGTGACGCAATTTGCAATGACCAGTGTACAGTTCTACTAGAGCTTTAAGTATATTCCTGTTCAGCCGTAGCAAAGATTCTGTTCCTTTCTTTGTCAAGATTGGTATAGTTGCCTTAGCAATGGGACAACCCTGCTAATCCCTCCCAGTATTGATGGATCTTTCAGTCCATCTCTGCAGAGATTATTTATTTAGCCGTATTGTATGCGATCCCAATCGCTGGCTCAGGCCCTATGAAGGGTGTGCTAGTCTCACTCTTTGCCAGAATGTCAGCTGTCTCGTTTCCTTCTGGACCTGTGTGTCCTGGTATCCATGAGACGGACTTCATTTCCCTCCTCTATGCCACCGAGAGCCTCTTTGCAATTCCACACTAATTTCAATGTCGAGTAGGTAGAGTCAAGTGTTTTAAGTGCGGCTTGACTATCTACAGAAATAATTATAGTTCTGTGTCTCAGTTGTCATTCTGCGATCATTCTGGCACACAGTTGTTCTATAGCATCTAGCTCTGCCTGGAAGATCGATGCCCAGGTTCCTAGGCTAACAGATTTTTTAATCTTTAGCTTCGGCACGAAGATACTAGCTCTAGCACCTACCTCGATCTTGGAGCCATCTGTGTATGCACAGATATCTTTCCTTATCAGGTTAACTTGCTGTTCCCACTCATTCCTGTGTGGAATTGTCACTAAGTCACTGTTAAGAACACCGCAAAAATCCAGAGAAAACGAAAATGTCGCATGGAAGCTTGGGGTGAAAAATAAGATTTAGTTTATGGTTTTTACAAACAGAGTCAGGTACTAAAAAACATCAAATTTGATTTTTCAACTATCAAAAAATGTCAGAGGGCCAAATGAATGCAGGTTGATGTAACGTGCAAGATTTTATTTACATCCGTGGTGCGCATACTTGACCTGTATTGGAATTACGTTACACTGATGACGTACGGTTAACCAGGATCACGTGTATATATTATTGTTACAGGTAAAATTACAGCTAGTGGAAAGGACAATGCAGTATCTTCTATTGACTTGCCTCGTAATCAATAAATCCCAAATGTACTATAATAATTTTCTAATAAACATTTTTCTATATGTACTTTTATTGTCAAAATTCCCAGTCAATAAAATTATTTAAATTTGTGAACAATAGCTCTAAATACAGTCCTGAGTTTTACCACTTTACACCCTATTCATTATTGCAAACGTTACAGACTAATACAAAGATGTCACTTGCTCATCAGCTGTTCACCTCAGTAGACAGCAAAACGTAATGGATACTCGTGAAATACACTTTAGGTGCAATACTAATGTACAGGGCTATCCTTCTATGAGGCATGTATATTCCTACATTATATTTGTTATGTATTCATACAATGTTTCAAATTATTGTAATATCCCAAACACAAACATTAGCGTTTATATACGTAAATAATATTATTGCAAGATATGTTACATTGTATTATAATGGTATATTATGTATATAATATGGAATGTTATATTATCTTATTATATTATACTATAATCATTTTATATTTCATTATAATATAATACAGAGCCTCAAGGGAGGAGGAATGGTTAAATGAGGAATAGGCAGTTTTGACATATAACTTAAGGGATAAAGCACTGTTACTGTTTTCAAATTTACTGCAATTTTTTACAACGTTTAGAAGCAAATATCCGACTTGTTTTGCTGAATTGTAAACTACCTTGACCAAATGATTTCATTTTTAACTGTTGAGTAGATCCTAAAACAAAAATACCGTTGAATGGACATTAACTCAAACCGCTACTTGAAAAAAAAATCAAGGGTAGCACCCAAGACTCTGAAAGTGAAAATTGGCTAATTTCACTACCGATGGGGGGCGCTTATGCTTGTCAATAAACATGGCCGAAAGGGAGTAAACTTTCCATTGTTCCGTATCACTACGTCAACGTGTACCGGCATTCAGTTTTTCGTTGTTTTTAGCTTTGCGATCACGCAAGTAATGTTCTATTAATATTGTGATACCTCATTATCATAATTTGAATAGACCAAAACAGACTGCGAAGGTAAACTGTCCATTAACTTGGCTTCATTTTTTTTCTTACTTAAAAGCTAACACCGAAAGTAGGAGTGTTGTTGAAGGAGAGGCGCTTCTAAATGCAAAACATGTTGTTTTAATTGGCACTACAGAGAAAATAGAGAATCATGTTTGCGTTGTGTTTACAAACCAGTGCAATTAACGATACTCCACATGAGATTAGGGGAGAGGTGGAAATTATTGTTTCCAAAACTAAATAACATTTGTATGTACATGCAAAGCAGGCTTGTCTGGTACGTGCTAACATATTACAGCAGTTTTGTTGAAATACTCAAGGTAAGATTCATTTGATTACGACCCTAATATATTATATGTTCTGTTATATGAACCCCATTTATTCAATTGCTTTCGTTTATTTTAGATGTAACATTTATGCAATAGAAGAACTATCAAGTACTGATATGGAGAGATACTGGAGTAAAAAAGAAAATTTATCGAAGACAAGTATGAAGCAAAACCAATCTTAGGCCCGTATCGTCAGTCGTCCCTACAATTGTAGGGCGCGTTTATGGCCTCCTTGATTTTGGTAATATTACGTCTTCTTCGTTAACGTACATGTATGTCCTGCTTTTGGTTTCCGACATACTGACAGTTCTGGCTTGAGGCTTGAGGTTATGTTGTTGTTTTGACGTTCAACGGAAGGCAGAACCATAATTTATAATTTTCTTGCAAATAATCTCGATCACTCAAAAATACCTCGCTACATTGAACAAATTCCACAACCTGTGGTATCTTCAAGAAATTGTTGAGTTAGGAAAATTAATGCACATGGATATATTATACTACTATATTTGTGTGTATGAAAGTCCAGAAGGTTACAACCAAGCTATTCTCTTGATGAATGTTGGTAAGTTACAAAACAAATCATTGCATATCCATATTATATACTTATCGCATTATTTTCAGGTGTGATTCATTCTCACACACTTTATGAGATGGTTCCTCCATGGATAAGAAACATTGTATGGCAAGTGCAATTATTGCATTGTCGATGTCAGAGATGCTTTTTCACAAACCCTTGTGGGACTCTAGATTGTGTAGAGTGTCGGGCACAAGTATGTATAATGTGTGTATGTGAAGATCATAATTACTATTATTTACCATCGCTATTTCAGGGTGCTCAAAATGCCATGGTCATGTAGGATTACAAAAAATGAAGTGTTACAGAGAGTAAACAGAAGAATAGAGTTGCAGCATGAATCAAAATAAGAAAAACTTTATGACAATTCCATAATTACTTACGAATGGGGAAATAAAAGAAAATTGTGACTCATCAAGGGAATTACTTTCCTGATAAACAAACTCCAAACAATTCAAACAACTAGATAAGCGGAAAAGACCCATTAAGTTGAAAATTGTAGTTACCTCTAAGTCAGACTGGATTAAGCCCTAATAGGTAGTTTTAAGATAGTTTCATTGCATTCATAATTCACTCATCATTACGGGTAGATAGATGTTGCAAGTATCAAATTAAAAATCCCAACTTTATCATGAACTTAACATGTAAGACTCATTTTAGGCAAAAATGGACTTAACCTAACCTGCCTCTAAGGTAAAGAATTTGATTTGTATTTGCTGCTGGGTGTAAATTTTGGATTTAAATCGCTATCAATAATGGAGCCTTCAGTTACTAAGCATACTTCAGTGGCATCAAGAACAAGGAGATCAATGCACTGAGCCTCAAAGAACAATATGTTGTATTATCAAATGTGTTGCACCATATATTAATGTTGTAGAATGTGGTATATGAAGAAAAAGTGAGGACAGCTAAATACAGTTTCTTTTCCAATTTGTTCATTGACTTCTAATCTTAAAATAAAAGAGAAAATCTATTAAAACTGTGGTATAGGAAAGAAAAACATTTACTGTTAAGAAATATCAAAAACTG